TGGTAGCTTTGGCACGAGAGACATGGACGATTACAACACATCAGAATATTTAATCTGTGAATCAACATCCTAAATATGTCACAGTGCTGCTTCTGGAGGGTCACAACCACATAAAAAAGGAACCAGCACGTTTTACCAGCACTGCGTCCCTGAGCAATGAATTTACCAGCTTTGTCTCCAATATAACAGGATGGCTAGAGGTTTATTTTACCCTCCTATCCTTAATATCAAACAGCCGCAGGGTAAGGAAATGTCATCTACTGAAATATTACTCACATTCTGAGTCCCAGTAAATCAGATAAATGTTTGCTAATGAAATACGTAGCCATGATGTCATTTTGTCACTTCTCAGAACCCAGCTTAGAGAAATGTTTTGATCAAGAAATGTATCGAGGTTATGCAAGAAGGCCCCGAAACCACAAACTCCACCACCGCTCTTCGTCCTCCCCTTGACTTTTCAGATTTCTTGTCAATGACATTTCTGTGAATGTCAAGCCAAACTTGAGTTTGTAAGACCTCCAAATGCAGCGCTACCCCCCCACCTCAATGTACCATCTCTGGTCTTTGTTAGGAAGTGTTGTGTAACCGCACGGAGGGTTTCAGATCAACTCACTTTCTGGTAAAGCAGGAGATGAAGAAAGAGAGTGCCTCAGTCTCTCTCTTGCTTTTTTTCAGCCATTTACAAATCCGGCGCTGCTGCCAGTTGACCAGCGTCAAAGTTTGGCTTCTCTTTAAGTGCGTGTGTGGTCTGTTTACGCTGGTTCACTAGAAATGTGGGACGTCACCCTTCGAAACCTGAATGTTTACACGGGGAATTCTTGGTCAACGAAAAGCAGAAATTAGGATGGACTGAGCAGGTGTGGGGAGGGCTGGTCCTCAACTGACCCCTTTAGTCAGAGTGGGTTTTGTGTCCCAGCGTGTGTCAGTGCTTGCTCACAATTAAGCTAACAGTCTTCCACATAGATGCTGGCTGCTGATAATGCGCTGCAGCTGACATGCCCTGCTGCATCTACCTTTGCATCACGGGCAAACTATCTCTATGCCCATGGGAGGATGACAGATGCAGCTGTCGCTCACACACAGGCACAAACACAAACAGCTTTAACAGCTCCTGTCTGATGTCCTGTGGGCACAATGGTCCTTAAATAACCTCATTTGAGTGTGTGTGTGTGTGTTTGTGAAGAAATCTCCCATAAAATGTGGAGTAAATAAACCAACAAAATGTTATTCTTGTGGAGGAGGTGAGTGAATTTAAATTGATTTTATGGGGAAATCTGAAAAATTATGCTCTGAAATGCTAATAATCAAATAAAAGACAGATCTAAGAATTATAAAACATTTTGGAACCGGCGCTAAAATGCACGTGAAACAGGGAAAGGAAAAACAATCATTGAATTATGGATTGACACAGTAAGAGGAATGCTGGTAACATTAAAAAACAGCCCATGTGTTCTTTATTTGGATTTTATTTTCTGTTCCTTTTATTTCTCTTTATTTCATTCACTCTTGCCCTTTTCCTGCATTTTCTCGATTTTAATGTTACCTCGGGCTGCTGATTTCGCTGGATTTAGTGAAAAACAACTAAAAACTTTTCAATATTAAATTGAAACCGAGACAGAGAGTGCTGACCTCAAACCCCCCCCCCCCCAACCTTTCCTGCCGGCTCCGCTTCTCTCAGATGGAAAGTACTTGTTTGTATGGCAGTGTGTGCGGTAACAAGACATCTTAGCCATCAAGTGTGCGTGTGTCACTGTGTTTGTGTGGCTGGACTGTACATATGTATTTTCCTGCCTGCCCCTGTGGGACAAACTGTAGGTCTGAGCACTGATCAGAAAGGTCCTTGTGTCGGGTGGAGGCGGTGGAAATCCCCTCTTGTATCGTTGTGTGTGTGTGTGTGTGTGTGTGTGTGTGTGTGTGTTTGGAGTGCTGTTTCCCTCAGTCCACCCAAGGCCATAACTGGAGTACTTACTAATATATAGTGAGTGCACATGCCTCTACTCTTAATGTGTTTTCATTATCACCAGTTTTTCTCACCAATACTTTTTACCCATTATGACAAATCATATTTTAACCTTATACCAACACGTTTGTGATTTACTGCTTGTGTCTCATCCATCTAATTAGACCTGACTATAGGTGTAGACCTAAGATCCAGGTTCAAACTGACCTTTTTTTTTCTTTCTCATTATATCCTATATTTACAGTGTTTAATACGTCTATTAGACCACCAAAATTAAAAGCATTGGTAATTAACCAAATTATATTTAATGTTTGTCTAATGGTTAGTCCACCAATGTGTACAGGCTGTTTAATTGAAATGATATTTGAAATGTAAAAAAAGTTGAAGTTTACAAAAAACAACAAACAAACCCTGAAAAACATAATAAGGCTTATTATTATTTGTATGTTGCACTTAATTACTTCTTGATTAATTTCTGACTTTTTTTTCCTTCCATATGTTCAGGAGAGAGAAATAAGGAGATGGATGAATGGATGATGGAGCGGTAGATGGATAAATGGATGGGTGGATGGATGGTTGGATGGATGGATGATGATGAATCAGTAGATGATGGATAGATGATGGCTGGGTAGACGGATGTATGTGTGGATGGATGGATAAATGATGGACGGATAGATGATGGATGGATGGGTAGAGGGATGGATGGATGGGTAGATGGATGGATAAATGGATGGATGGATGATGATGGATGGATCGGTAGAGGGATGGATGATGATGGCTGGGTAGATGATGGATGGATCGGTAGATGGATGAATGATGGAACTTTTCATATGAATTTAAAATAGGCAAAGCCAAATAGGAAGTGAAGTCATATTGCGGAAGCTGTGAACTTGTCTTGTTTTATGGTCGACTAGTCTTTTTTATTAGCTCGATTTCTATCTGAAGTAAAGTATTCTAAGCATCGGTGCTTATTTTTGATAGCTGTTGGAGCAATTTAAATATTTTTGACATAAAACTTAGAACCCGAGCCAAATATTTTAGTTCTTAGCAAATAAATCTTTAACAGGTGGTTAACTGGGTCCTTTGCTGGAGGAAAGACTGGTGATTTTGGCCTTGTTTTCCAGCAGGCCAGGGATCAAAGTAAAACCGTTATACAAGTGTTACAGTTCTGTGGCTCTGGCACCTGCCTCAAAACTTGGATTTAATACATGGAGACCTGCAGGTATTTGGCCTTATGGCTGGCTTTAGGGCCTGACTTGCTGAACTAGATCTTGAGACCCAGTTTTGTGTGTTTTGAAATCACATCCTGAAAGTGATTTTTAGATCAATCCAGCCATGGCTGTTTCTCTCTGATGCAGCTTCATTTTCACTCATCATTACTGCTACGACTTTGGACAAATGTTGAAATACCAGTCGAAAAACTTCTACTGTGGTTCTTGCTTTCTGAGCAGAGTTTAAAAGGTCAAAAGAAAAGACCGTTCCAGGGAAAGGGACCTTTCTACGCTCTTCAAAAACACAAACCACCTCAAAGATGTTGGAAATACTGGAGAGCAACATCTCAAATAAGTGTAAACCGTTTCAAGATCAGGCAGTTGTGGCATTAAACTAAACACACACACACAAACACACACACTCCCTCTTTTTCTTTCACTGCCCTCATCAGAGTGAGGGAAGGCTGTGGGCAAAGTGCCAGGTGCCTCTCATGTTTGGGAGAGCAAACAGGCTCGTGTCTTTGATGGCGAGGAGATCAGAGCGGGGGACGCATTCTACGTGGCCGCGCTAAGGTCGCCGCAGTGCACACCCTGCTGCCATGTTGTGCTCCGCAGCTAGGCGACCCGGAGTATACACAGTGAGTGGGAGAAGAGTGTGTTTGTGTGTGTGTGTTGGTTCAACTCCACCAACCAACTCATCGCACACTCGCCTTTGCTTTCCAAGACACACTCACTCCAACTCTGACGTACAGTTTGCAGTTGTCTGAAAAATGGTTAAACCACAGGAACAGGGTCGGAGCAGTGACTCCCAGGCCAAGCAGGAATCTCTCAGCAGTGGTGACAGCACAAACCTTGCCTTGACTTTCTCTGTCTGTCATCATAATCCCTCTCTGGACCAACTTCATGTGTGCTTTGTAGATGTTTTTGTTCTTTACTCAAGATTTCTTTTATTATAATCCTTCTGCTTTATTTGACCAACATATTTAAAAAGAAAAGAAATAAAAACAACCTAAATGGTAACAGCACAACAGCATTAGAAATGTCACTGCATTTCTGGTAAACGTAACGCCAGTGCCAGTTCCTGTCATTTTATATCTAGGGCGCATTTTCTGACTGCTGTGGTTGGACCTTCAGCCTTCTTCTTACGTCCTAGAAAGCAACAGTGACACATGTTTTGCAGCAGTTGTTATCATTTTTTTTTTATGACTAAATGAGTGATTAAAAACATCCTGCGTCAGAAATGATGGGCTCATCACGAAGACGTGTCCGATGCCACCGTCTGTTGTCGATGATCAAAAATAAAATAATTAGTGTGATTAAATATTTCTTAATCGGTGGCAACTTTACCAGTTAAGTCAATGCATGTTTTTAATGGTACAACATGTGCGCCTCTGCATGTGTGTTTAGGTTTCGAGGTGTCTGTTTCCTGTGAGATGGGGTAAAGTTTGTTTGTGAGGTGGGGGTATCTAGTTTCCTGTAATAGGGCGGTTGACTTTATGTAAATAAGCTGAGGGCCTCAGATTGGGAGATGACGTTTGGGGGGTTGGGGACTCACACAGACAAGTCGAGTGTGTGACAGAACGAGGTCAGGTCCTGGCTTTCTCTCGATTCCACTGACAGCTGCGAGTCCCAGCAGCTAAAAAACCTCCTCATGACGAAGGGGCGCTACAACCGTGTCCCACCTCTAGCAGTCCCCCCTCCTCAGCAGCAGGAACCCTGAGCGAGACCCGTGGGTGGACGGTCCCTGGGAGTGGCTGGGCAGCGTTCGGGCTCCATGTGCTCTGTCTGTTCTGACTGCGTGTCTCTGTGTGCCGGCTGTTTGTTGACAGATGACGCGTACCAGAAACTGGCCATGGAGACAATGGAGGAGTTGGAGTGGTGTTTGGACCAGCTGGAGACCATCCAGACCTACCGCTCTGTCAGCGACATGGCCTCCACCAAGGTATGAGAGGCTGCACCTTTCACTGTTTGCTGTTATTGTGTTTCATCATAATGGGGGCAGTTTTGTGCCATCACACTTGTATTTCGAGCAGATAAATCCAAGTCCATGTGTTGCAAGTGTTTATACAAAAAAAGGGCTCCGCTTTTTAGGGGAGCTCTCAAATCTGACTAGCAAGGGAATCTGCAGGAAGCATTAATCCTTCAGCATAATAAACACATGAAGGGCGGTATACAAAATCCAAAGATGCTACTGCTGAACTTAGCATGACCCATCAAAGTAAACAGCGTTAAAAGTTTGAACATAAACAGAACAGTAATGAGGAGGAGATTGGTTTGGCAGAGGGGGCTGAGATGAGTGCTGATTGGATTAAAAGGCCACCAGCTCACTTATATGTCCTATTTATCATCAGATTTGTTTTCCTGAGCAAACATAAAACTCTCCTTGTTGAAAAGATGGTCTAACAAGCAGGTGTGTGTTTTTTCTTGACCGGCTGTGGCTCTCTTTCCATCTTAGCTGACTAACTTTTCCACTGTCCGCTGATTATTCTGTTTCTTCTGTGTCACCGATTGCGTGTCATGTGCAGTGAAGTTCAATGCCTGGTTTTTATGTGAAGAGACAGGAAGTTGAAACAATGGTACTGAACCACATTCAGCTTAATAATCACTTGTTGTATTGCGCTTCCTGTGCTCGTGTCACTGGATTCTCGACATGATATCTAAGAATTATTAGGTGGCATCCATGACTGTGTGAGTCATGGTAAGTTTGCTCACTTACAAAGAAATGGCTGTATCATTTTCATGGAAAGAGACAGACATACAAGCAAAACATGACTTACTATTTGGTGGTGGACGAACCCTTGTTGGGGTAAGACGTTTCTTTTTGTTGGTCACCAAGTTTGCAAAGATTTCACGAGGGGTTTTGGCCCACTCCTCTTTACAGAAACTCTCTGAATCCTTTAGGTGTTGTGGCTGCCGTTTGGCAACTCGAAGCTTCAGCTTCCTCCACAGATTTTCTAAAAGACTGAGGTCTGAGGCTAGGCCACTCCATGACCTTAATGTGCTTCTTCCTTTCCACTCCTTTGTTAGCACACCCCGTGTGGCAAGATACTGAAAGGAGCTCCAGATTGAGCAGTTTGGTCATTTTATACTTCTTCCATTTCTGAATAATGAAAGCTCATCAAACGTTTTGTACCTCAGTTCCAGTCTTGAGCATATCTAAGGCTTTGCCTCTGACCATGTCCTTGGTGGTGGCGAGGTTCGAATGGAAGAAACTGGTTCTGGTTCTATAAACATGCGTTGAGATGAATGATTGATCCTAATCTGTACACATGGGCACGCAGCCAATCTGTGGGAGTCCGAATCCTAGCTGGGTGGTAGGGGATAAAATATTTATTTCACTCACTAACATGCAAATCAATTTAAAACTTTTATGTAATGTATTTTCTCTGGATTTTTGGTTGATATTTTTTGCTTCTCTCCATTAAAACGATACTACCATAAAAATTAGAGACTGTTCGTTTCTTTGGAAACTTACAAATTCAGCAGGGGATCAAAAAATTATTACTCGGTCTATAATTTATTTCTCTGTCATTAGAATCTCTGCTGCTATTACCTTAAGGGCTGTAATACAAAACACATGGTCTCATAATTGCCTCCTTTTGGCCTTTGCATTCAGATGATGTCATGGATATCAAAGCACGGTTTCCCCGTTACGACAAGGTTTTACATCTATTCAGTTTTGTACTTTAAGAATTCATCATTCAGAGAAAATGATCAGACCTCGCCTGCGGCTTGAAGTATCCAGTCAGTCCACAGATGTCTGTTTTTAAAATGGTTGTCGATAGAGATAATGTGGTTGGCTGCCGGACACCAAAGTAAATATGTCTGTGGGATTTAAAGGTAGGAAGAGTTCATGAGTCACTGGATATATGGCCATCACTGTTAGAGATCTAACCTGGGCAGTTTTATACCGTAGACTGCCACAGAGATCGGCCACTTGGAGGAAGCTAGATATTTACATTTTTTGGTCTTTTGTTTAAGTCCAAACCACAGAAAGCTGCTGTGTGTGCGATGAGTGTAACTTAGCCTGAAAAACCCTGTCATGTAAACATGTGAATCAAGAGGAAAGCTTATTATTTCTCATGAAAACTGGACAACAGGATGCGAGTGATCCAGCAGTGGGTCAAACACAATGAACTAGAGAGGAAGACAAAGAACACGTGTGTGTGTGTGTGTGTGTGTGTGTGTGTGTGTGTGTGTGTGTGTGTGTGTGTGTGTGTGTGTGTGTGTAAGGGATCCTCGCAGACCCCTGGGCAGAGTTACTCTCTCTTCCTGTCTCCTTCCTGATCTCCTGCTGCTCTCTCTATATGACAATAGCCATCCCAACATACCCATTTGGACGGTTAATGGCCGTGTTTATTTATCCTATTGCTGCCGTCACACATCCAGCACTGACAGTAAGCAGGAGCGGTTTCACTTAGGTTGACAGAATCACTGCAGAACTACTGGAACAACTATTCAAACAGTCATTTAGACATGAAAGCAGGGGTGACAGACCAAACACAGAAGACAGGCAGAGTGCAGAGGAAGTCGGAGCATCCATGCTTGTACAAACGTTCTTTAAAGAAGCTGTTGGTTTGCATCACTCCTCAGCTGCGTTTCAGTTTAGCCTGAAATCAAGACTGTAACTGTAGGACTTTTGCAATCGTAGAAAACTTTTTTTGGATCGAGACGAACGTTATCTGTAGGTGATGATTGAATACAGGAACTTCACCAACTTGAAAGATTCCCAAATATCCCAATAAGGGAAAAACGAAGGAATGGTTTTGCGCTGCTTTTTCCAGAAAACATTACACCTACCCCTCGGTCTGCCAAGATCATCAGACTGTAACACAATGGAAAGCTGACAGCACTTCCACTTGAGCAGATGGATGTAAACTGACAGGTGTGGCCATTTATCGTTGGTCAAACGAAAGAAAAGTAGCTCTCTAAATTGTACTTTCTTATTTTTAATCAGTTCATACTGAACTGTATTTCTTCTTTAAATGTGGAGTCTCCGCTGCGGTCCACAGCGCAGCGTATCAAGTGGCACAATGTGCTTATTATGCATTATGACCCTCTCTCACAGATGTGACTTTGGCAAGTGGGTGAATGTGCCCCGACACGTAACCGTATGTGCACAAGATGCTGATAAGGAGTCGCCCATCGAACATGTGCCGCATGTATACATGCCTGTGTCTACGTGAGTGTGCGTGCAGCTGGGTGTCCGTACCCACAGTAGGCTAATCCCCTCATATCTCGGCAGTCTTGTTTTTACAGTAAACTAAAACATTGCACAACTGCAGACCCTTTGTCAACTTGGCCGTTACACCCAACGCGGCTTTGTTAGCAAGAACATACCGATCGGCTCATATGACCCCCGCAACTTCCTATTGTATTTAGGATGGTGGAAAAACTGTTATCCAAGCTGTGGCAGAGTATGAAACATGAGCACAGGGGAGGTGAAACGCAAGAAGATGCGATCGTACCTCCAAGGTGAAGTGCAGGCAGGGGCTGATGCTGAGCACTTACAGTACGTGACTGTCCCCTCTGTTATGTATGGTTGACATAGACGGGTCAAAGTCTGTTGTGAGTTGGAATATGCTCCTTCCAGCACTGCAGACTCTCTGTTGTGTGAAAATACAGCTTAAGCATCTAATGTCTGCTTGATTATAATCAGTTCTTTTTGTCAATATGGGGCTCAAGATCATTTAACAGAGTTACTCACAGATTTAAAAGAAAACTTAAAAAGAAAATCAGATTTAGTAAACTTGAAAAAAGATGAAACAACTGTTTTTTTTAATCATGCGGATTTCACTGAACTTTGGGAAGTGAAGAGAAGATAAAGATTTTATCCCAATTCTGCATGAGCCAAAATTATAATTGAAATGGAAGTTTATAATTGACTGCACTCATTTGCGAAACGTGATGAATTTGCTACCAAAAAAGAAACAACTGGTTCCTGCTTTGAAAAGGTGAAAAGCTGCTGCTTTTGTCCAGTTCATATACTGTATTTTCCGCACTATAAGGCGCACTTACAATCCTTTAATTTTCACAAAAATCAACAGTGCGCCTTATGTATGAATTCTGGTTGTGCTTACTGACCTCGAACTGATTTTATGTGCTACACGGTGCACAGAAATCTGTCAAAACATGTTTTACTACGACTTTGGTAGCTACGAAGCTGCACCAGATTGTCGGTGCATTACGGCTACCATAGCCAGGAGCCTCGCGGAGGAATCTGGGTCCTAAACTCCATCCGTTCAGGTACCAAAGTCAAACGAACACTGCGACATCACTGAGAGTTAAAACTGTCTAAATTCTTTCATCTTTAATAAAATGATCAGCGTTGCTGTTTTACCAGGTGTAACAATTAAGTTTAACATCCAGGCATCCATGAAAACAGAATTTATTACATTCAACGGAGTTAGAAGTTAACAGGAAGTTAGCTCGCTAGCTTCCACCTAAACATGATATAGCATGTTCTGACTGAGAGATTTCTGAAAAAATCAAACGTACAGCTCTGTTATCACTTCCAACATAAATGAAGACAGAAAACTAAACAGCAGTGGCGTTTGTAGGGTTACTGAAGCTGGACTAGCTGGTATATAATGATGTGCTACGTGATCGCTAGTGACACAGCTATTCTAGCATAGCATAAACACAGTGAAGCTGGAGGATGAACGCTAACTTTTTTCCACTTGATAAAAGTTAACATGAGGGTTCCCGATGGTTAGGGACAAATGCAATCGCATGGCAGGATGCTGTAAACGGACCAAACTTCAGTCAGGAGAACAACTGAGATAATCCATCCACAATACGAGGTTAGTCATTAATATACTGCAACAACATGGGAATAGAGCAGCTGCAGAGAATTCAGCATCAATGAATCAATGCTACGGAAGAGGAGGAAGCAAGAAGAATGAGCTGAGTAAAGTTTGACTTATCTGACTGTTTTGTTTC